AGTAATTATATCTATTAATTATGAAGTTGAGAGGGATAAAAATTTTAAAGTGAGAAGTGCTATCAAGTCTAGGAAGCCCAGAACAAAGACACACACACACACAATTCCTTTCCCCAGAGGATCATCCACTTTTTTTTTTAAGAGAGAGAGAGAGAGAGAGAGAGAATTTTTTAATATTTATTTTTTATTTTTCGGCGGACACAACATCTTTGTTTGTATGTGGTGCTGAGGATCAAACCTGGGCCTTACGCATGCCAGGCGAGCGCGCTACTGCTGGAGCCAATCCCCAGCCCCAAGGATCATCCACTTTTAAACAACTTTGTATAAACTCACCATGCCTGCAAACTCTAGCCCAAATGCTCATATTAAAAACTTTAAAAAATAGAAAAAAACTATAGATATAAGAGCATGGCGCATACCTCCCAGCAACTTGGGAGGCTAAGGCAGGAGGTTCGCAAGTTCAAGGCTGGCCTTGGCAACACAGCAAAACCCTCAACAACTTAGCAAGAGCCTGTTTCAAAGTAAAAATAAAAAGGACTGGGGATGCAGCTCAGTGGTTAAAGCGCCCTTGGATTCAATCCCACTGTCGAAAAATAAGAATAAAAAAATAAACATGAGTTCAAGGAGGGAATCAGCAGAGAGCAATGATGTCATGGACCTAGAAGAGGCTTTTCACTCATCCACTCCTTCATCTTTCTTCTTCACTCAATCCCCATTTTTTTCTCTGAAGTGGATCTCTCTCTTTTTTTTTTCCCTGTTCCCTCTGCCACCCCAGGTCTTTATCATCTCATGCCAAAATTACTTGAAATGCCTCCTAATTCCTGGCTCCCCTCCTCTGAATCGATTTTGCATACTATTCTCAGACTAATCTTCCCCCAAATACCATTTTATCATATCACTTTCTAACTTACAATAAAAATTCTGGGCTTTTACAGTCCAACCAGTTAAAGCTTATTTCTCACTACAGCTTGAATATCCCTAATCCAAAAGCTTGGGTCCAGACGTGTTTTGGATTTCAGATTTTCTGGATTTTGGAATATATGCATATTCATAATGACATATGTTGGGAATAGAACCCACATCTAAACATGAAATTCATTTATGTTTCACATATACCTCATACACATAGCCTAAAAGTAATTTTATACAATATTTTAAATAATTTTATGCCTAAAATGAAGTTTCATAGTGTGGTATTTTCTACTTGAGGCATCACATCAGCACTTGAAAAGTTTTGGATTTTGGAGCATTCTGGATTTCAGATTTTCAGATTAGGGATTCTACCTCGCGGCCTGCGCAATGGTTTCATTAATGAGGTTCTAGGCATAAAGTTAGTTAGAAGAGATCGAAATAAAACACACAGACTCAGTTACCTTATTTCTATTGCCAGGTCCGAGACGGCTCCCCTCTCTGGCTCCGACCTCTAACCGCCCAGCAGGGCAGCAAGGATTACTCAGGGCTAGCAGGAGAGAGAGAGAGTGAACACGCCAGGGAGTAGCATTTTATTGGGGAACAAGAAATTCAGGGGATAATTCCATCCAATGAAGGTTGAGGGGGGACTGCACTCGAAGGTCAGGGTCAGTGATTGGGCCCCCGGGGTCAGTGGTCAGTCACACCCCCACACGGACGGGCTCTCTCATCAGGAAAGGGCCGGGAAAATTCCGACACAGCCAGAAGCCTCAGACCCTTAACGGGAGTCGCCCAGTCACGTGTCAGGATGGCTTCCCACAAGGGATAATCAGCCTGTACTGTCTGACATGTACCTCTGCTCAGGAGAGCAGTCATCTCACCATCTTGGCTCCCACACCTGTGAGTCAGTCACTGTTATCATCCCTGTTTTACAAAGGAGGAAATTGAGGCTTAGAAAAATGAGTCAACTATTTAAAATAACATAGCCAGTAAATAGGAAAGGCAAAATTCAAATCTGTATCTAACTTACAGCCCATGCTATTTTCTGTTGCCTATCTTCCTAGAAGGAGGTAAAAGAAAGCAAACTTTTAGGGAAAGATGCCAGAGGCGTCAAGAGTTTATCCTTTGCCAGATGGCTGCTCCAGTTTCTCCATGCTCCAGTGAGCTTCCAAAATCTGCCTACTTTAGGAATCTCTTCAACTTCAGAGTATAGCACTTGAGCTGAGTAATGTTCCGTGACAGACCTAAATAACCCTCAAATAAGAAAGTGGAAGAAGCACAGCACACTGAGAAAATGCCAGAAATAGCATTTATTGAGCAGCTACTCTATGAAAAGCCTTGAGTGGCAGATAATGTATTGTCAAAAAACTTAGGTTCATGGAGATTTCAAAAATTGCCTGGTGCTTCTGTCACCTACTGCTACATCAAAAACCACCCAAATGTAATGACATGAAATGGCAACATTGATTTATTATTTCACAGAATCCTACACTCTGGGTCGAATTCATCTGGACAGATCTTCTGCTCCGTGTGGCATCTCCTAGGCTGGAACATCCACAGAGCTTTCACTCACATTTTTACCATCTCTGTTGAAATGGCTGGAACAGCTGAGAACCAGCCCCAGACATTCCTCCTCTTTTCAATGTGGTCTCTCCTGCCAAGTAGACAGACCTCTCTCATGATGGCTCAGGGTTCCAAGAATAAGCATTTCAAGACAGAAAGCAGAAAAGTAGGAATATTTCTGAATCCTCTATCAGCATCACACTTGCTAATTAATCTTAGTGGTCAGAAAAAAAAAAAAAAGTCACACACTGAAGCTCAGAGTCAGGAGCCACCACAGCAAGTCATGGCAAGCAGCTCTGACTTGAACTGGCATAGCTCCTGCTACCATATATAGGATATTATATGGGACTTATATTTATTATTTGTTTACAGTCTATCACCCTCTACAAGACCACAAGTTCAAAGAACTTTGTGTACTTCTGTGTAACTAGTGCTTAAAACATTGGCAGTTAGTAACTGATACATATTTGTTAAATGAATACTGAGAAAAACTTGAGAGACACTCCTTATAGAAGAATACCAAATTTAGAGTGGAAAAGAGTTATATGACAGAGGAAAAATTATTCTAGACACACCTTTGAGACAGCTTTTGCCCATTCCAGGTTTACAAAGGCTGCAAGGTTGTGATGTTATAGCTGGGCCCCTAAATCCAATCCATTCTATGCATCTATCCATGATATAGACCTAGAATTGCTGTTTTAAAACAAAAAGTCTTGGTGATACATGATTAACAAAATTTGCATTATTCAGAATTTTAACTAATTCCATTTAAATGTGCAAAGTTGCCGAAAGGTACATATTTTTTTTTAATTTCCTGAAGGATTCACCAGAAACTGGTAACCAGTAACCAGTGACCAGCTCTGAGGAGAGGAACTGGGGGCTCGGGTGAGGGGGGTTTGTGGGGTTCATTATTCTATTCTCTCTACTCTTGAAGGCTTGAAATTTTCCATTAAAAGGTTTCTTAAACAAGTCCAGCTGCAGAGAGGGCAATGCAGATGGGACAGGATCAAACTGAAAGCTGGAAAATCAATTAGGAAGCTAACACCCAAGTTCCTGGAAGAAGAGGTTTAGCAGTTTGGACCATGGTCAATAATGGGTTTTTCTCTAAGTGGAAAGATTTGAGGTGGTTTTACTTATATCTGAATATTCTCCATTTTCCACAGTGATCACCTGTAACTTGAATGAATTTTAAATTCAAAGTCACACTGTTTCAAGTGAATCAGGATTAGAGATTCCCAAGAAGTCTCTAAAGAACTTGTTTAATCTACATTTGCAATGTGAACATAAGGTAAAATAAGATACAACTGCTAAAGTTTGAAATTCAGCATCTTGATGAAACAGATGCTATTCTTCTGCCTCAGAGTAGTGTAATCAGGAGCATAAGAACCGGAATCACAGAAACCTGGCTTGATCCTTACCAGATATGGAATCCTGGAAAGGTCCTTTCTGATTTCTGGGTCTTCATTTTTTTCCATATCAGTTGCATAATTAATCAGTCATTCATGTAATAATTGCTGAGTGCGTCGTATATGCTAGGCACTTTTCAACACACTGAAAAATATAAAAGTGAACTGCACAAGAGTTTATCTTCTGAAAAGGAGAGAATAGGTAAACTTCACCATCTGCTCAAAACTGGTAAATACTCCATAGAGAACTAAAGCAGAGATAAGTAGTGGGAGAAAGATGGATTTTTTTTTTTTTTCTTTAAGTACTGGGGATTGAAAACCGTCCACCACTGCACTACATCCCCGGCCCTTTTTATTTATTTAGAGACAGAATCTCACTAAATTGCCTAGGCTGACCTTAATCTTCCTGCCTCAGTCTCACAGGTAGCTGGGATTATAAGCATATGCTACTGGGCAAAAAATAGAATTTTAAACAAAGTGGTCAGTAAAAGCACACCTTGGGAGCAGTATCTTTCATTTGTAAAACAACAAAATACCTACTTCCTAAGGTTGTTACAAGCCTTATTAACACAGCATAGGCTTCACCTGAATGCTTGTGAGGCACACAGAACTTCAGGTCCCAACCTGTCCCTATAGTATCAGAATCTGTATTTTAACAAGACCTATCGGTGATTTATAAGCATAATCAAAGTTTCAGAAACATTAATTCAAAGGATTAAATGTTTAAATACCTGTATTAGGACTGGCAAATTATAGAAATAGAGAGACTCGATAATTCACGGTTCTCTTTCCCTTAACATGACTATATATTTCTCATTAAAGATAACACTGAGTTTCTAATTATGAGATTAGAACTCTAACTTTCTTATAGATAGAGTGGAAAACCTGAACAGAAAGCCAAATTGCAGACACATTAAAAACCCTGACTACATTAAAGTCACTCTATCATTGGTACCCCAAACCCAGTCTAATCTCCAGTGTCCCTTTAGGTTTGAAGTCAGGAGAAGCGCAAGCCGCGGAAGTCAGGACAGCTCCGCCCTTCTCCGGCCCTTTCCCTTCTTCAACATGGCGGCCCTAGCTACAGTACGGGCAATCTGCGCGAAGCACTCCGGGAGCGGAAGAAGACTGCGCGATGACTGCCGAACCGGAAGAGGAGGAGCTGGGCCTGGCGGATCCGCGGGTGTTTTTGCCGCTGCCGGTATTTGCGGATCTTAGGGCGCCGAGCCTGGCGTGCGGGGTGTGTCACGATGCCGGAGCTGGCAGTGCAGAAGGTGGTGGTCCACCCCCTGGTGCTACTTAGTGTGGTGGATCATTTCAACCGGTGAGTGGACGGCCCGGGGCGGCCTAGCGGGGCCGGCAGAGCTGGGGCTGCTGAGTCACCGGCACGCTGGGGACAGCGCGGCGGCCGCGGCCAGGCTGGGGACGCAGGTGAGACGGCCGCAGACCAGCCTCGGTTCATGAAGCCAGAGTGACCCGGCTCCACGTCCCCGCCGCCACTCGGGGGCCCGGGCTGCCTGTTCCTTTCAACGAAAGCTGGATGGTGCTAGAGTATGGAGGAAAGGGCAGGCTTCTGTTGGCACTGACCGCCTGCCTCCAGGCTCGTGCCTATCCGTCACCTCGCCCATCCCTTTTCAACAAAAAGACCTGGTGTCCTAGTAAGCGCTTCTGAGCCGCTGAGAGCTGCCACCGGAATTCTTTTCTCGCATCCGGAATAGCATCCTGGATGGGCGGTGGTGATAACCCCTGAAATTTTCTAGGTGGGAATTTGGTTTGATGCTATCTTAAAATGTAGACGAGGTGTCAGTTTCTCTTTGAACAACGAGATCAGTTAGAGATGGAGCATTAATAAATAAGGTGAGAAAACATCCCACAGATCACTTGGTAAGCTCCCAGTGCCTGCCACCTTTACTTTTTTAGAGCTGTCTATCCTGCTGGACCTGTTGCACACGTTCAGAAATTTTACAAGATAATTAATTAGCAATGGAAAGACTCAGTTGAGAGCATCTGCTGTAAAGTCTTGGTTACCGTGTGCCCATTTTCCTGCTTTGTACGACTAATTGAACCAAACACGAACTCAGGACTTAATGAGGTTTACAAAACCCACTTCAGTTCCATTGCTTGAAGCCTCAGCCTAACAGGATATGTGGACTTTTCTACTGTACGGTAATTACTGTTTTATTCCCATGAGACACTTGGTTAAGAGCATAGGTCAGGCAGATGCTGCTAGCTGCTGTGCCAAATAACACATGTAAAGTTTTTTGTTGTTTTTTAATGGATTTTTGTAGACCCAAAGAAAGCCAGTGGAAGTTTCCCTTGAAGTGTGGAAACTCAACCTTGAAGTGTTTACAGCTTCAGAAAGTATAAGAGCCACCAGAAATACAGAATCCTTAACTTTGATCCAAACTTATTACTGATAGGTTTACCAAACTGTATGTTAAGAAAAATACTGCAGTTAAAGCAATGTGAAACTAGCAACTGTTTATGAAATGTAATTCATTTTATAGGCTTCTGTCTTTCTTTAGTGTTGAGTTGTGTTGTGCCTTAACATTTACTAATGGTTAAAGAATTCTTGAAGAGTGATACACTTGTAGCTTCTTAGAAAATCACTGAGGAGGTTTGAAATGGATTTAGAGATTCTAAAGTAAAATCTAACTCATTCAGTCCTCTTCTCGTTGTGATTAGTCACCAACTCACTTCTGACTTCTCCCCACTACACCAGTCAGAGAGGCCACAAGTAGCACACTCAAGCCTTTGTTTGGAAATCACTTTATAAGCACCTATTCTTTACAAAGAATAAAGTAAATCTAATCTACTGGGGCTTGTAGGCATGGGGGAACATTCCAGAAAATTTGCAATGTAGAACCCAGGCCACAATACTGGTACTACTTTAGCATTTTTATTCCTGAAGATATTTCAGGATAGAGAAGATGAGGAAAGTTCAAAGGAGCATAGGAGAATTGTAAAGAAAAAAATAAAGTTTAAATTTTTCCAAGCATGAATTACTTTGCAGTCGATGGTAAGTAAAAGCTCAAAAGTTTATGAATTACTCCTTATATTTAGTATTGCATACTAATCTAATGTTATTACATTTGTTTAGAGAGAATAATTACGAAGTAAACCAAATTGTATCTGAACTGTTGATATTTGCCATTAACTATCTTAACTATTGGGGTCCTGTAACTGTATGTCTGTGCAGACTGACCATGTGTTTTCTCATTTAGAATCGGCAAGGTTGGAAACCAGAAGCGCGTTGTTGGTGTGCTTTTGGGGTCATGGCAAAAGAAAGTACTTGATGTGTCCAACAGTTTTGCAGGTAAAAGATAAAGTTTAAATTTTTCTGAGCATCATTAAAATGTCGATTTACTTTTCAAAATAAATACTTATTACAATTGTGTATTACAGCCCTGAGATTCTATTTCATAATGCTGAACTAGACCAAAGGCTACACTTTAGGCCAGACCACTAAATATTTTAACTTGCAAGCTTTGTGGTCTTCATTTCAACTGCTCTTCCTTCTGTTGAAGTTCAAAAGTATCTACAGAGGGGGCTGGGGATGTGGCTCAAGCGGTAGCGCGCTCGCCTGGCATGCGTGCAGCCCGGGTTCGATCCTCAGCACCACATACAAACAATGATGCTATGTCCGCCCGTAACTAAAAAATAAATATTAAAATTCTCTCTCTCTTTGAAAAAAAAAATTTTTTTTTTAAGTATCTACAGAGTATGTGTAAACAAACAAATGTAGCTGTATTCCATTAGAACAGGCCATGTAGTCTGTCAGCCCCTGTACAAAACTTTTTAACCCTGGCCATGGGTAGAGCAAGAGGAGATACAGAGACCTTTAACCTTTTACTTTACCGTGAATCCTTACAAGAACTTTACTTTTATGTTCCATATATTATTGTTTTTGTTGTTGTTGTTTTGTTTGTTTGTTTGCAGTACTGGGAATTGAACATAGGGCCTCACACATGCAAGGCAAGCACTGTACCACTGAAGTACATCCCTTGCCCATTTATCTTTATTTTGAGAAAGGATCTTGCTAAGTTACTCGGTCCTCCCTTGAATTTACAATCTTCTTGCCCCACCCTCCCAAGTAGCTGAGGTTATAGCTTTGTGCCACCATGCCCAGTACTACATGTGCTTTTTTATGATCAAAGAAGCAACAACAAATACTGGTATGACCTCTGGACTAGAAGTCACTAACTCTAGTGTCTAAAAGAACCAGCCAGTGAGGCAGTTTGCCAAATGAGAAATACTGGGAAAGGATGGGCCTTAAAACTGAAGAGTATGTGTCCTTTTTATAGGCTTTACCCAGTAATTGCCAGGTCTTAACAGTTTTTTGAAGATAGCTGAAAAAAATCTAGATTTTTTTTTTTTACTGAGGGTGACTAAATAAAATAAAATTTAATGCTGTTTTGGACAAATCAAACATGTAAAAATAATCCAATCTATTCACTTGTGACTTGTATTCTGGATTCCTATCTAGCACCTAAATTAAATCTTAATTTTTTTCTGTCTAGTCCCCTTTGATGAAGATGACAAAGATGATTCTGTCTGGTTCTTAGATCATGATTATTTGGAAAACATGTATGGAATGTTTAAGAAGGTTAATGGTAAGTGTTTCTAAGAAGGTGTTATGGCATGATGTTGACTTATGTATGCGTGTATATGTATATTTTCTTAATCTATTTGTTTAATGTCAAGGGCCCTTTCAGTTAGCTAAACTTAAGTAAGATTGGTGATAGTAGAGCAATGAAGTTGAAGTAATGAAAAACCACAATAGTAATTTATGGCCAGGTTGTGCACTAGGATTGAGCAGGAGGTTGGGAGATAGTCCTCTGATTTCATCAGAAAAGCGAGGGCTATCACATCCCCTGCCCCCAGGGGATTTGATACCACCAGCCAGCATAAATACCTCTCTCACATGTGTCACTTTCATGTTATTTCATCCCAGCAGCCACATTGCTTTGGAAATTTTTATTCCCACAACTCTGCAGTTATTGCATATGTGACATGAACTTGCATTTGCTTATATATTGCCTTGGAATTGTTCTCTAGTTGTTTCATGAATGACTGGTCTCGTAAACTAGTCGAGGATATAGATATCTCTAGGTCACACACTGCCTATTTTTTGAAAATTCTGTTTTTGAGTTTTAGATTTCATAAGTTTAATTTCAAGGTTTAAAATAGATGTCTGGAATTTCAAAAAGGTAAAGGACATAACTCGTAAGCAAATTGTATAGATGGTGATGAAACAACTAAAACCTAGTTTTTTCTTCCCAGCCAGAGAAAGAATAGTTGGATGGTACCACACAGGCCCTAAACTACATAAGAATGACATCGCCATCAATGAACTCATGAAAAGATACTGCCCTAACTCAGTAAGTGTTCTCTTTTTAAAACTCTTGAATGATATTCTTTGCCAGCCAATTCAGGAGCATCTGAAGATAGATTTGGGTAGTGAGTCAGTTCACTGCGCTTTCTCTGTAAGTTTGTTGTGTTGATTGTTATCATTCTGTGCAGTATTCTGTAGCCTTATGGATTTAGTAAACACATGCCTGCTAAGTACCTGGTATGTGACTGACAATACTTTCGGTAACTGTATATTCTCTTTATAAACAAGAACACAGAGGTTTGCAGTGCTTAATATATTCTGAGATGGGGATTAAAATTTTTGCCATCTTAACTCTGATTTCCTTGTGCTCAACAACCACATTCTATGACCTCAGCTTTTTCATGGAGGGAAATACAGAGTGAGAAAACAATGGAATAATTTGAAATATAAATTCATTTTTGCTTAAATTTGTCTCATTTCTGATTGAATGAATGAAATAGCTTTAGTAACCATCACAAGAATGGCTGAAATTATCCCTTTTGTGTGAAATGTAATGTAGATGGCTAAGCTGTGTTTCTTTGCCAGGTATTGGTCATTATTGATGTGAAGCCAAAGGACCTGGGGCTACCCACAGAAGCATATATTTCAGTGGAAGAAGTTCATGATGTAAGTCATCTTGCTGTGAACTCAGGAAATGAGACTGGCATCTCATTTGGGTGATAAGTATTTTTTCTTTTCCATTTCCAAGTCAGATCTTTTTAACAAAAAGAAGATAGTTGATTTCTGCTAACAGTCTGCTCTTAGAGTTTTTTTCCCCTTGAGTTTTTTTGTTGTTGTTTTTGTTTTGCTTTAATTTTTGTTTTTGGCTACCAGAGATTGAACTCACGGGCACTCGATCACTGAGCCACATCCCTAGCTGTATTTTGTATTTTATTAGAGACAGGGTCTCACTGAGTTGCTTAGTGCCTTGCTAAATTGCTGAGGATGGCTTTGAACTCACAATCATCCTGTCTCCTACCACCACACCCATCTCCCCTTGAGTTTTTGAATCACCAAATTTTAGAAATAGGAGGACCAAGGAAATTTAAAATTATTTTCAAAAATGAAATGGAGGCTCAGAATAGTCAAAAGATTACTCAGAAATATTCACAGCAAAGGAAATATGGGATCTAGGGAGCTTGGCCCTAATCTCATACAGTACCTACTGTTGAGCTTCCTCTGTGCTGGTGTTTTCTTCTCCCTGAGGATTCCCAGTTCCTATAGACTAAATTTTGGGTTTTCAAATGGAATAATTCAGAGCTGCCAAGACACACCTCTATGATCATTGACATCTGAATTGCATTGATATAAAAGTGCATAGTTGCCAGAATGTAGTTTTTCCCTCTTTCTAGGAAAACAACTTAAATTCTAGGGTAGGACTTGATGTAAAAATATGTTATGAGCACAAAATATTCATATTTAGGGTATCTGCCAAAAAGCTCAGTCTTAACTTTCGAAAGCCAAGAGTTTGAGAAATGGATTAAAGACTGCTTTTGGATTTAGATATGTAATATTTATCCTTATCCTCAAAATTTGGAAAAGAATATGTAAGTGTTACTTGCACTAAGCCCTATCCTTCTCTTTTTCTTTTTGTTTAATCCCAGGAAGTTTAGATCCAAAGTTATTGCCTAGTTGCAATAATGCTTTCATCCCTGATCTTCATCCAGTTGATTTTAGTTAATTTTTTTTTTTTTTTTTTTTTTTTTTTTTTCTGTGTGCATAACATCTTTGTTTGTATGTGGTGCTGAGGATCGAACCCGGGCC